AGCCTATTGATTACAGTGAATGGCAGCAGATCCATTTCTCCATGTATTACTTGTGACTAAGGGAATTGCATTAACAAAGGAATATAATAGAATCATGGAATGGCTGGGGTTGGAAGGCACCTTAAAGATCATCCAGCCCCAAACCCCACCATAGACAGGGGCACCTTCCACTATCGCAGGTTCCTCAGAGGCTCATCCAGCCTGGCCTTGGACACTTCCACGGATGGGGCAGCCACAGCTTCTCTGGGCAACCTGTGCCAGCGCCTCACCACCCTCACAGGGAGCAATTTTTTCCTAATACCCAATCTAAACCCACCCTGTGTCAGTGTGAAGCCTTTGCCCCTTGTCCTGTCATTCCAGGCCCTTGTCAAGAGTCTCTTTCCATCTTCTCTGTAGGTTCCCTTCAGGCACTGGAAGGCCACAATGAGGTTACCCCAAAGCCTTCTCTTCTCCAGGCTGAACAATCCCAATTCCCTCAACCTTTCCTCCCAGCAGAGCTGCTCCATCCCTCTGATCCCCTTGGTGTCCCTGCTCTGGCCTGGCTCCAGCTGCTCCCTGTGCTTCCTGTGCTGGCCCCAGGGCTGGATGCAGCCCTGCAGGGGAGGCTGAGCAGAGCGGGGCAGAGGGGCAGAATCCCCCCTGCCCTGCTGCCCTGGGGCTCTGGGTGCAGCCCAGCACAGGGGAGTTCTGGGTTGGGGCAGGGCCAGCTCTCACCCACAGCACCCCCAAGTCCTTCTGCCAGGGCTGCTCCCTCTGCTCATCCCCAGCCTGGATTGATCCCAGGTACAGCATCAGCACATGGTCCTGTTAAACCCCATGAGATTCCCATGGACCACTTCTGCAGTGTCCAGGTACCTCTGGACGACATCTCATCCTTCAGGTGTAATCCATGCCTTTGCAAAGCCTTCTATTAATGGTTTCACTGATTCCTTGCAGATTGGTTGTCTGTTTGCTCCTGATGCATTGTCAATCAGGTTATCATAAGGCAAAGATCACTGTTCCAGCTTTCATTATTTCTGAAGAAAACAGAATTTAGTTTTGATTCAGAACCTCTTAAGAGTGTTACTATTACCTTCTGTAATTCAAAAGATCCAAAACCTTAATTTCCCAGGTCTATATTGGTTATTCTCAGATATTCTGTTAATAAGAAAATTTGTATATTTAAAGTGGCTAAATAATAAAGATGTATCTTAATGCTTATTTAGAGACATGGGATTTAATAAGGGAAACAAATCTTTTCCCATTATTTTTCTTAGAGAAACAAAAATGCCCAAATGCCATTTCCTGAGATCAGCTGCATCAGGAATTCCATAAACTGCTCTTTAATTTTTAGCAGAGGGGTTGGGTGTAATTTGCTCTGAGCAGATAAATTTATTCTGCCTTTCATGTCAGATCACTTTCATTGTCCCAACTTTCGTTAACCCAACAGACTCAAAGCGTATCAGTGCAAACCACAAAGATGAAAACAGGATGTTACCACTTCTGGTGACCCTCTGAACAAAACCCTGCTCTTTGCATTTAAAACACTTTGTCCTGCTGCTTACAAAGAATTTCTGTTCTGTCTCCAGTCAGGTGTGACATTGTTCTCTTGAGAAGTAGCCAAAAAGCTGTGATGAAAAAAAAAACCTTTTTTGGGTCAAGGCTGTTTCTGCTGTGCTGAATCTGTCTTCACACCCCCAATATTTATAACACTTGTGTACGTTTAAATGAAGACATGGACCATGAGTTTTTCCTGTATATTTGGGATATTAAAAAACTGAAATTTCTTTTTTTTGCATTTTGTATTTTCCCCCATTGTTTGTTTTTTTTTTATTGTTATTGAATGTAACTCAAAATTTAAAGGTTAGTTTTTTCTAGCCTCAGCTGAATAAGAGCATGGAAGGACTTAACTGGCCTCGAGTGTAAAAGAATCTACATGGTCCTTAGTGTATTAAAGCTCTGTTTAAAGCTCACACATCTCAATTTCTTCACCAAATTCTTTTTTATACTGACAGCCCTTGGGAACATTTACAATACTCCAATGTACAAAGAAATCATGAGAAACAGAACTGATTGAAACCCAGATGATATTTATCTGCTTGGTGATAGACCATCTTGTAGAGCAGATTCTCTTTCTGTTTGCCTCCTTGAAGAGATTCGAGATTTGTTACACATTTTTTTTACTTCCAGTAAATCTGTGTAAGTCTTGCTTTCATTTTATTATCTTTGCAGGATTCATTAAGCTGAAGATTCTAAAGAGTTATAATCAGGCAGTTTTTTCAGAAATACCTTGTCAACTCCATCCCAGCATAAAGGTTAGTAGATAGGTGCATATTTTTTAGAATGTTAAGTCTGTAACTATGTAGGAAGTCAACATTAGAGGGCATAATAACATCAAGTTATCATTCCAGTGCCATGGAGCTATGTAGCTATCACTTGTATTTGCAAAGTGTTTGCATGTCAAAGGGTCAGATGACAAGTGTGAGCATAGTATCAAGAACAGAAAAACAAAAAGGAATTTAATAAGCCTTAACTATCTTAACTTTTGTCAAGTATTATCCACAACACAGCCTCACTCTAATACATTTTCACAGATCAGTGACTTATGTTAGTAGGTATTTCTTGCATTATATAATTCAGTTATAAGCTTTAACATACAAAAGTTAGAAGTTCTTCTCCTATATGTTTGCTATAATTTTTCTTGAGCATAAGTTAGTCCCTCCCTGGGTAAAAGTCATGTTGATGCAATTTGTGAGTGGTGTTCACAGCTGCTTCTGAGTCTCTGTCATGATTTCATAAGGAACAGTAAGTCAAAAATGTAAGAATGGGCAAATCTTACTCAGCCCTGCAAGGCACATCTGCAGTGCTGTGTCCAGTCCTGGGCTCCTCAGCACAGGAGGGACAGGGAGCTCCTGGACTGTGTTCAGTGGAGGATGCAGAGATGATTTAGGGCCTGGAGCATCTCTGGCAGGGAAAGGCTGAGGGAGCTGGAGCTGTCCAGCCTCCAGAGGAGCCCCAGCTGAGAGGGGCCCTCAGCCCTGGGTGTCCCTGTGTGCAGGGAGGGCTCCGAGCAGGGCCCAGGCTCTGGGTGGCCCAGAAATGGCATTAGAGGAACGGGCAGGGACTGATCCCAGGAGGTTCCACCTGGGCAGGAGGCAGAACTTCTGTCCTGGGCAGTGACCGAGGACTGAACAGATTGTCCAGAGAGGGTGTGGAGTCTCCTCACTGAGGATATTCCAGAACCATTTGGATACAATCCTGTGCCCTGTGCTCTGGGACGGCCCTGTGGAACAGGGAGGTGGGACAAGATGACGCACTGGTCCCTTTCAGCCTTATGCTTTTTTCTGGGATTCCTCGATCTTCCCCAGCATATCTAAGTCAGGAAAAGGGATGCATTCAGGACAACAAAGTGAAGAGAGCTGCACAGACCCCAGAAGACAGAGGCATCAATGGAACTCCACAGGAACTTAGAATTCTGTGGTGCTTCCCTGTATTGAAAATATGCAGCAGTTAGCCAGTTTTCAGGAAGAATTTCTTCACAGAAAGGGTGATTGTGTCAGAACCCAGGACATCCCTCTGGGTGCCCTGGATGGCTCAAAACCCTGGTAGGGGCTTGGAGACCCTGGCAGGAAGCCAAAGACACTTGGGATTTCAATCTTAACCCATGGAGCAAATTACCAACCTTCTATGAAGAATTACAAGTCACAAAAGTTTAAGTGGCATAACAGTAGTTGTCACAGGGTGAAAAGTAGAATTTTGGGATTTTTAGAACAGGGGTTTGGAGTCCCAAGATGGAGGAATTTGGGCGTTCCCTGTCCTTCTTCCTTCTTCTTTCTAGCCTCCATCTTCTTGGTGATGGTGGCACATTTAGATTGGTCTAGAGTAGAAGTAGACAGTCTAACATAGGTGATAGGTATTGGAAAATAGCTGTAAATAAAGTTCACGTAGTTTTCAGTATAAAGAGATAGCACTGCCTCAGGGCAGTGCAGTGTGCCCTTGACAGATCAGACCTCTGCGGGTGTGAGAGAAAATATTTTAAATAACAGATAATAAACAACCTTGTGAACACAAGCCAAAGAATGCCGACTCTTTCTTCGGCCGTCGGGCTGGGAAAAAAGGACTCTTGGGTCATCTGGACAGCAGGAAACTCGACAATTGGAGGCACTGCTGGGATCTGGTCAGAGAAGGATCCAGCCAGAGACCCAGACCACTGAACAGCCCGGGAAGAGGCACACCACGGAGGAAAAATTCCAGAGCAGACAACTTGACCTCTGCCAAGCCAACTTGCTTCAAAATTGACCCGGAAGGAGGACGACCAATGGGCCCTGGACATTCTGCACCAGTGAGCTGCTGGCCGGTTCTCAGGTTTTCTTGCTTTCAGGATGACCCGAGAGTCCTTTTTTCCCAGCCTGGTGGTTGAAGAAAGAGCCAGGATTCTTTGGCTCATGTTCACAAGGTTGTTTATTATCTATTATCCAAAATATTTTCTCTCACACCCACAGACGTCTAATCTGCAGGCCTGTCAAGGGCACATTGCCCACCCCTGGACTGGTGTCTAAATTTTATACTATGAGTTACATATACTTTATCATTATTTTCCAATACCTATTTTCTATGCCAGACTGTCTACTTCTACTTTAGGCCAATCTAAATGTGCCACTGTCACCAAGAAGATGGAGGCTAGGAAGAAGAAGGAAGAAAGACAGGACAACACCCAAGTCCCTCCATCTTGCCTCCTAGACCCCTATAGAAAAATCTTCAAAATTCTACTTTTCACCCTGTGAAAACTAGTGTTATGCTACTTAAACTTTTGCGACTTGTAATTCTTCATACAAAGTTGGTAATTTGCTCCATGGGTTAAGATTGAAATCCCAAGTGTCTTCGGATTCCTGCCAGGGTCTCCAAGCCCCTACCAGGGGCACAAGCCATCCAGGGCACCCAGAGGGATGTCCTGGGTTCCAATAGCCAGTGACCAGGAAAACCCCGGACCGGCTTTGAAAGTGACTTAGCTTTTGGTAAGAATGGTCAAAATTGGGAACACTGAGAACATGTGGAAAGCTTATTCCCAGGAACAACTCAGGGAGATTAATGGACACTTTGATCATTTACCAACAGGGAAAGATAAAACGGCCTTGAGACTTTTGGCTCAGGCGGGAACAATGCTGGAGGCGATTTCGCGGAATGCCGCGGGGGCTACCTACCATCAGCAGGCAGCACAAATGACTACCACTACTCAGGGCGGGAGGGAATCGCCTTGCCATCCGCAGGCGAGGGTTACTCCTAGCAAGTCAGGAAGAGCACAAACGACTCCCACCAAAAGGGGGTATGGGGGGTCGTCATCACCCTTAGGGTCTCCGCAGACACCTCTGCCGGTCCCAAGAAAGCTATCGGGGCGGGGGGCGGAGGAAGTTGCGGGATCAGAGGGGGATCTGCCTTTCGACCATGCCGAGGCAGTGACAGGCGGTCATCAGCCGCCCGAGGAGAGAGTGCCGGGCGGCCAACAGCAGCCCGGGCGGGGCGCAGCAGCCCCGGGGGCGCCGGAGGTGCCGCAATGGCACCGGGCAGCCGGCAGCAGCCCAGGAGGCCGCAGCGCCGCCCGGGGGGGCCACGGGGGCGGCGCTGACGCGCGCGGTGGCGAGGGCGCGCGCGATGACGGCGGCGGGCGGCGCCCAGCCGTCCGGAGAGTGCTCGGCGGGGCCGGGCCGGGCGGAGAGGAGAGGAGCGCGGGGACGCGGGAGCGGACTACGCTAAAGTGGCGGCATGCGCGGTGCCGCCGCGGCGGACGCGCGTTGATGACGCAAAACCCGGAAGTCAGAGCGAGGAAGGCTTTTTCCCGTTTCCGGAACGCGGCAGGGGCCCCGGCGGTGCGGGAGATGCTCCCGCCGAGAGCGAGTGTTGCCACGGAGCCGGGGGGGCGAGCCCAGGCGGAGACCCAGGCGGAGCGGACCCCAACCGAGATCGAGGCTGCGCGGGTCCGGGCGGGGCGGGTGTCAATCCCGGGGAAGAAGGAGGCGTTCCCGAGGGCGCGGCTGCGTAGGAGCCCGTGCAGGCGGGGCGCGGCCAGGGCAGGCGCGTTCTTTTCCACACCCCCGAGATGATGCGGGCGGAGGCTGTTCCGAGCGGGTCGAGACAGAGCGTGGTGAGGGCAGAGACGGCCACACCCCCGTGGTGACACAGGCAGGCGCGGGGCGTGGTCAGGGCAGAGCGGGTCTCCAAGGCACCGCCCTGTCGCGGTTGCCAGGCAACCACAGCAGCCAGCACATCGCAGCAATCCAAGCAGGCGTTTGGGGAAAAAAAAAAAAAAAACACGTCAGGAAACTTCTTCAAGGGCAAGATGGAAGATTTCTGAGAACATCCCACAGTGCTTTATGCAGTTTTTTAACAGGTCAACTCCACAGAAAATGCAGCAGATGAGGCATTTCACCCAGCTCTTTCACAGGCCAGTTCCACAGAAGTGATGGCAACAGCATTTGCTGGAGGGCCGTGCTTCAGATGCAGAAGACATAGACATATGGAAAAAGAACTGTCCAGAATCTTCATCAAATAAGTGAGAAAGCAGCATGTCTTTGCCCAAGATGCAGAAAGAAAAAAAAAAAAAAAGAAAGAGAACCCCATGCAAATCAATGTAATTCCAAATATGATGTAGATGGAAATCTTCTATTGTGAAAAATGCTTCCCAGGGAGACAAAATGTCATGTAAAGATGAAAGTATTAGTAATGATTCAATTACCCAAGGTGTCTCAGAAGACAGAGCATTTTGGAAATGTCAATCAGATCCTGTTTGTGGGGTCATCAATTGATTCCCCAGTGATTCAGAGCTCTAGGGATTGTTGGTATTGAGTTTATAACCTTTGTTATTTTTGGTTTTTATAAGTAATACTGATAAATCGTGATTGTTGTTAATGTTATATGAATGCTTTAAGAAGGTTGTCTAACCCCTTCAAACACTTCCCATTGATAAATTGATTCTATAATGTGAATTCTCAGATCTTTGTGATAAGAATTATTATTAAGGCATTGTTGTAGTATTTGCAGCTGGCTTTCATGTTTTTTACCATCTTTTTGTGCGATCACCTGCAAGACACTTGTCTCTTCAGGATCCTGTCTTTTTATTTCTTAACTACTCATGTGTATCTATGTTTGGTTTTTTTATTTGCAAAACTCTATTCAGTTATATTTGCTTTTCATTGCAAAGATTTGTTTTTTATCCCCATGTTCAACAGTTTTTTAAAAAGCTTTTAGAAGTTTTGAAACTGTTAGACTGATCACTCAATACTATTTAGGCACAGATCATGAATGCTTAACTCCATTTTCTTAAGGTTTTTTCCTGTGAAAGATTAGTGGCTGCAGTTAAACTCCAAATTTAAATACATTTCAAAGTCCATGCTTTTACAGGCATGCTGTCTAAAATAGAAGTTTTGATTAAATAGTCTCACCAAAGCCTAAATAAAAGCACCTTTGTTGAGACACCTTCTTTTCCATAAATGTTGAAATCAACAAAACCCAAGGATAAGAACGATAGTGGCCAACCATTCTCTATGCTAGTCAGTCACAGAATAACAAAGAAACAATTTTCAAGAGAATGTAAAAATCCCCTGGAAAAATTAATTTACTTTGGAAATAATTTAAATAATTTATTTCATATAAAAAAATAAGCAAAAAAATGCAGCCAATAAAACACATCTGGTGACAAGGATGTGTCCTAGACGTATCCCCTGGACCTAGCTGATTTCATGATTTCTATGTGCCACAATAGAGGTGCACAGTTACAGGTTAAACAGTGTTTGCGTGCTCTGCCTGGGTTTAAGACATCTCCGTAAGGTCCAGCATTGAGCCAGAGAGCTGGTGCTGAAGGGCACAGATCAGTGTCTCCACAGGGCTGAGGAAGGCTGAGCAGCCTGGAGGATGCAGGGGGCTGGACAATATAGCTGGCAAAAGGGAGAGTTCAAGAGGTTTGCTGTGTTTGAAGAATCTCTATCCTGACAGAAGCTTTGGAGGGATTCAGTTATTTGATTGGTTTTTAACCCTAAGGTTTCTTATTCATAACTGTTATTTTTAAGAGTCTTGTTTTAAAAATGTGTCAAGTGATACCCACCAATTAGAGTTTGGGCTCTGGCCAAGCCTCTAGCTCTACTTGGATGGAATGATTGACAATCAACCCAGATGTTTTCTGCATCAAAAAGTATTCAAGTCCTTTTGACTTGGCAATTTAACCATATATAACAGCTGAGCCTATTTTCAAGGGGAGTTTGGAGAAACATGAATCTGGATATGATTTCTCCACTTTTCTGTTGTTTTAAGGTTTATCAGCTGTCGCAGACTCTGGGATGACAGTTCAGTGTTTGGTAATTGTATGATTTCGCATGTGTTATTGAATATGTGTATTATCTGATTGATTCCTAATTACTGTTATCTTACATTTCTCTGTGTAATATTGCAAAACAGAATCAGGACCCATTCTTCACCTTCAGGATTTTGAGAACATCCTTCAGTCCCTGTGGGGATGTGGGATTTGTTTGTGTTTTAACAGGTGCAAAGTCCGGGTGGATTTCAGTGAAGAATGTGAAACTCTTATCAAGTGCGAGAAAACACTGACCACTCGACAAGCAGAGAAGACACAGATGTGAACTGCACAGAGATTCCAACCCTTGTGCTTCGCCCACAGAAGATTGTGGACTTTGGATTTCTTCATGGATGTGGGAATCAGGGATGTTGTAGAATTTTTGTTAGATGGTAGGTTTTTACATTTTAGTGGGACTTGTGATTCTTCTGCTCCTTGTGCCATGCATTTTTCAGTGCATGTGGCAAGCCTTGAATAAGGCTGCCAAAGACGTGTTTTTGGTGCAAACAGAAGGGGGAGATGGACTCTCGGGTCATCCCAACAGTTGGAGACCCGAGATGATTGGACATTGGAATGGGCTGCACAGGCAGGTGGTGGAGTCACTATCCCTGTCAGGGTGGTGAGGTACAGGGTGCCCAGAGAAGCTGTGGCTGCCCCATTCCTGGAAGTGTCCAAGGCCAGGCTGGATGAGGCTCTGAGCAAGCTGGGATAGTGGAAGGTGTCCCTGCCCATGGCTGGGGAGTGGAACTGGATGGGCTTTAAGGACCCTTCCACCCCCAGCCATTCCATGATTCTATGATTCTTTGAGTATTATGATGAACCTGCTGTGTCCTCATACACATGGATACAGAATTTTAATACACATCACCATCCTCACAGGGTAGAATTTCTTATAACATGCAATCTAAACCTACTCTCTTTCAATTTTAGGTCTTTCCCCCATGTCCTGTCACTCCATGCCATTGTAAATAATCTCTGATAACATCTAGAAGTCCTGCAGTGATTTTAGGTAGAACTCAATTCCCTTGTAAAAAATGTTCCCTTTGGCTGTGTTCATGTGGCTGTGGAGATGAAACCATGAAGCTACTGCCAGGTTTTGGGAAGGCAGGCCAGCTGTTTTTCTTGGGAGAAAGATTATTAACTGAAACTCTTTTAAGCTCATTTTCCTGCCACGTGGATGGGTTCTGGTGCTCCCACTCATTCCACCTGCGCTTCCACCTGCACAAAGCCTGTTCTAGGAAGGCTGAATCTTGGCCATAAATCAAAGGCAGATGATATATATTTACCCAGAGTTGGCTGCAGTTAGGCTACCTGCAGAGGAACTGCAAATGTGGAGAGCTGCCAAAGATCCTGGGAACATTCAAACCAGCAAGAGAGATAGGTAGTACTGAATAGTTTGGAAGTGAACATTTTAAGAAGAATCATGGCCAGTAGGAGATGTGTTTTCCACCTATGATTTGGGGGGGGAGGTTGGGTTTGTGTATGGAATAAAGTCTGATTCTCCTCATCCATCACCTTTGTGGTCTGTACCTTCACTAGCCCCAGTGAAGTTGCAATAATAAGTGATAACGGAGAACACATTCTCTACTGAGTTATATCCCCTTTGGAGTTTGTCAGAGATCAGCTCCTCCCCTCCTTCCCCTTTCCTCATTTGCTTTGATTCATCTTTCTTGCCAAGGAAATTTGGAGGCAGATTTTTCCAGCTGCTCCCAAAAGAGTGGGGAAGCATGTTATTGAAGTTGATGGGAAGCATTCTGTCCTCCACACATCACAGCCTGTTCCTAAGTGGGAACACTGCCTAACTCCCAAATTTTCATCCATATCATTCCTGAAACATGTTACCCACACATACTGCTTGTAGCTCCTCTGTAGACTCTTCATTTCTTCTGTGCAAAGGAAAAAATGGATTTATGAGCAAATTCTGCATTTGTCAGCATGTGATAGGATTTATTACTGTTCTCACGGTGACATTAGTTTGCACTCTGTAGCTGAACACACAGGAAGGTCTTACAAAGGGTGTAAAGTTAGTGTTGTTGTGCAATGAGCGAGACAAGGTTGTGGTAACACTCCTGAAAACACATGGCTGGTGTGGTAAGAGTGATGCTGCAATATCTCTGTCACAGAATTGTTTAGATTTGAAGCCACTGCTTGAGATCCTCTAATTATTCTTTGTACAGTAATGTGTATGAAACAGTTCTCCTTTGAAATCTCCCTAATATTCTGAGAATTTATAATGCACATTAGCAGAGTACTATTAAAATATTTTCTACAAATAATAGGAAAGCTCTTTTAATAAATACATATTTCTCCTGAAACACCACTGGGGGTTGATTTCTGACAAATTCCTCCTCCCCAAAGAGAGGCAAAATATATACCTGAAATCTACTATTTAATTAAAGACAGCAATACACATGTGCCAGGCATGGACTTTTTGGCCCATTCATCATCAATATATTGAGATTACTGTATTAAAATTCAGCATATGTAGATACTGAGATAGATATCTAAAGACTGAGTCCTGTGAGGTGTGACTAGGGGTGTTCAGCCTGGTGAAAAGGAGGCCAAACACATTGTTCAAGACGTATCTGAGTACACAGCATGTGAAATGCACACAACAGCCTGAATCCCAGGGGTTTTCAGCGCTCTCCACTGCCTGGGGGGTGGGAAGAAGTGGACAGCAGTGAGCCACTGCAACAGGCATGCACCTGCATTCCTGATATGCCCAAATGCCTGCAGCACTCCTGAAAAATGGCTTTTGGACTGTGCAGCTAAATGTAGACATCTTGCACGAGCAAAAAGTAGATTACATCAGAAGGCCATCCAGCCTCCCTAAACAAGATCCCTGGGCTTCACATACAGGCCTTACAAGAACACAGAATCATCCAAAACACTCAGAGCTGGTCTAGAGGAAAATGTAGGCACAGGGATGTCCTGGGAAGTTGCATCCTGCCTTTGCATATTTCCATGTAATCAATAGATCCGTTTTTAATTCTGTTCAAAAACCTGTGGATAGTAGTGTCCTTACTTTTTTTTTTTTTTTTTTTTTTTTTTTTTTTTTTTAATAGGAGCCATGTAATTGCAGTTGTGATGACTAAGGTTATAAGTGAAGTGAGGTTTGGAGAGATAAGTGATTTCTTTCATGGGCCCAATTCAAAATGTTGGGAAGCCGCAGACTTCTTTTTTTTTTTTTTTTTTTTTTCTTTTTTTTGGTTTTTTTTTTTTTTTTTTTTTTTTTTTT